ACACACACACACACACACACACACACACACACACACACACACACACACACACACACACACACACACACGACAGGAATTTAGACTTGTGACACTTGGCATAATGTTCTTACCTGTTAGAACCACTATTTCCATTGCTTGAATTCCCTTTTGGTGTGGTACTAGAAGCCTTATTCACAGCTTTTGTACCACACTGAGAACTCTCCCTTGGTTTATCTGAAATAAAAACAAGACTTTTGTTAGCAAACTGTAAACATAAACTATGAATTCACAGCAAAATGATTAGTGGATAATTAGAAGACTTAGGAAGCTGATTATTTCTTAACAGTTACATACTCGTAACTAGGGATTAAAAAGCAATCTGGGGCTTGCATTGTAGTTATCATGTGATAAACTATTTCAATATATTATTGATAAGTGTCTACAAATAAGCATACCAGTCTCCTCAGTACCACTCTCATCCGATTTAGATGCACTTCCTAGGGATGATGATGAAGTCCCACCACCAGGCCCATTTTGTACACTGGCAACAGCATTTCTTGGAGGAGGATCTTTGTGATGAAATTCATTTTCAGGTATCATGTGTGACTTTCTACATTTCAACATCCCCCAGTAGCTGAAAGTCGCACAAAGCGTTTAAATACACATACACAAATCAAAAAACACAAATATGGAGTTTAGAATAAATTATTCACTCTGCTACTTGGTTCTAGAAAATAAACTACTGCTTTTTAGTATATTCTTCAAGGTCTATAGTGTTCTAAAAACTTAAGTCATTCTTTCAAAATAAACTAGTTCTTTAACTAGAGAGCCTTTTTCCCCCTTTTTGCTCCTCAAGATATAGTAACTACGACAAAATTGCATTTTTCCATTTCAAGAAATATTATATGTGGCCTTTGAAACTATCATCCAGTATAGACCGGAAGTTGATAATCAGAAGTGACAACTCTCACCAGCCTGTGGGAACATGATCGCATAATCTCCCATAATCTCCTGAAGTAAAGCAGAAGATAAGACTTCAACATTGTAAAACATTTTCACATCTTCAGAATCCTTCTGTAATCTAGTCTCATAAATCACATTAAAGTATAATTGTGTTACCCCATAGCCAATGCATATAGATCTGGCCTCTTCTCTTTTTCTTCTTGGCATATTTTATTCACTCTTCTTTCCAAAGCCTGACCCAGATTCAAAACTTTTGGGTACCAAGGAAGTATTTTTGTTAGCACAATCAATATATTCCTGATATGAGTATATTCGCCTGTCTCAAGGCAATGCACCGATGCCTATAACAGACATTTAAAGATCTGTTATCATAAAATACAGGAATGAAGAGAAAAAAATTACCTTTCAAAAATGTCCACTTGTTTTTACCTTGGTTAGTTTGTAATGCCACTTATGTACAACATGTCGAAAATTTTCATAATCTAATTGATCAGCTTTATTTCCACCATCAAATCCAGTTGCCCGCAATATGGTAAGGAATCCTGGATAGTTTCCACATTCCTAAGAAAAAATAAGTTTCTCATTTTTAGAAGTTTAATTTATCCCACAAAATAGGAGAGTGAGACCAGATAAGTAACCAGCTATAAAAGAAAGGTTCAGATTATCCAGTGGTAACAGCTTCAAATGTCAAGTTGAGATACAATTAAAAAATTCCTCTTTTTAATAATATATTAATTGTGGTTTTAAGATCATTTTATAGCTGAATCTTAAATTGTTTTAAAATTGACCAATCTGAAGCAATCAATATCCACACAGGTAAAAGACGAACACATTTACCAATCGCATACCTTTTCATATGTGGCTCTGTCACTGTGCCACCTGGTCACTGTCTCTAACACATTTACCAATCGCATACCTTTTCATATGTGGCTCTGTCACTGTGCCACCTGGTCACTGTCTCTAACACATTTACCAATCGCATACCTTTTCATATGTGGCTCTGTCACTGTGCCACCTGGTCACTGTCTCTAACACATTTACCAATCGCATACCTTTTCATATGTCAGAAAAAACCTGGAGGAAAAAATGTTTGAAAAAGATTATCAGACTAAAACTATTAAAAGACTATTATTATAGGAAATAACAATAATCATTAAATTTCGTAAAAACTATACTTTCTCCTTTTATATTCACAACTACAGAGATC